AAGTTTTTCGCGAACGATACAGAGCGGTATAGATTTGAAGAGCCGTTCAGAATTGTCTTTGTATATCCCCAAACATTTTGACTACTCCTGTGCCAGTGACCAGTGTTTGGGCGAGTGGTCGGTGTTTTCAATAAGCGAGCGAGGGGAAAAAAAAACGGTAAAAATGTGGTCGTTTTCCGGTCGGAAAATACAGTGCGGTCGGAAATTAAGCGATCGTTTAAAAAGGGAGAAGTTGGGCAAAATGAGTACTGTGGTTCAAGTGATATTAGCATATTTCTCATTTAGTTTTAACTCGTACAATATTTATTAACTCACTGTTTACTATAGCCAGAACGCTGTACTGTCTTCACTTTCAGGTTAGTTCTTCCACAACCAACAACGTGATTTTTTATTTGGGATTTCGAGAAACATAACATGAATCGTTATGGCATTCATAACACAACACCTCGCCATATTTCAACTTTTAATTAGTCAGTTAACAAGGTCTTTCATAGTAGCATTTATATGGGATTGACGTACTAGCATGAATGGGTTCAATTATCAGTGTTCACTGATGACGTCATTTGACTGGCCCTCTAGAGGCGAAATGACGCCAGGAAAAGCGGACGTTTGTCGTCTGCTTCACAGCCCGTTTTATACCCGATATTTAGGGCATTTCGCAGCACATACAAGTTATTTTTATCGACAGAATTCATTCATAGATCTCAGATTTCATGTACAGAGTGTCAAAAGCCACACCTCTGCTCCCCTTTAATGGGTAGTGGTCTTCGCGTAGCGCGTGTTTGCATTTTCACGCGTTGTATACGTCACTATGGCTTTCATATCGAACAGGACGCGGCGTGACGACCACTGACTGCCCTTTAACCTCATCTATAGTCATGGTTTTCTGTCCATGATAACCTAACCGGGTTGGGAGAAAAAAAATACACACTATTCAAATCTCAGAGGGGTTAGGACATTGCGGGGTCAGTGCCCGTGGCCGGTTCCATATAGTTACGATGAGAAAAGATAGATAACTTATCTGGCTCCCATTTGGAAGAATGGCATTTTCACTGAAGAACGAAAAGTTGTCGGTATTGTGTTTTATTCATATCAGCAGAGCACTTAGAGATACAACATTTCTTGTCGCAAAGATTAACGATCTCCGCGGCGGGTACATGGCGTATTTCTCTCAAAGCATACTTGCTTGTGCTGTGCTATCGAACATTTCCGATTCTGTAAATGAACTCCGAGCTCATTGACAATAAATGATAGTATGCGAGAGTACCTACCTGACCCGGTTACAAAGGCGCCACCCAATGATCCTATAATAGCAGCTTTTGCAGCACCTTGTTGGAAATATTCCAAAAACGACACCAAAAATATCCCGCTGCTGTAAAAGTTACCTCCCGATAGGAATAAAATCGTAGCACAATTTGCTAGAATTACCCATCCATATCCGCCATCTAGGCGTGATTCTGATATGTGTGTCATCTTGTTTTTAATTCTGCAACGTAATAATTACATGATTAATTAAAATTAACTTAAATTACTCCAGACGTCCAAATTATGACGTCACATGTTCATAGGTCTACTCAATCGTACGTATTTATTTGGAACATGGATTATATATTCAATTACATCTCATGGCGTCCACATGATAACATAATTTTGGTAGTAGTTCTATATCGGTTGATTATGTTCTGGTTTATCAAATCCATTAAATTTCTGCTAAATAATTTGCTAAATAATAATTAAATTTCTGCTAAATAATTTGCTAAATAATAATTTGTGTGATGGATGAAAAGTTCAGTGGCGAGTACATGTGATAAACACACCCGTATTACGTTTGTTTAGCATTACAGTGTGTTTAGACAAGCATTAGCTTGAGAGTTATCAGTTTTAAAACATTGTAGTTAAAACATTGATTTAGTGTCGCCACAAACACTTCCATGAAGACTTTCCGTTTTCGACATTGTGAAATTCTATGTTTTTTATGCATAAAATACAGTTTTTAACAGTTAAAGTTAAGTTATTGTTTATACATGTGTTGTTGAACATACTACATTGTTTGTAATTTTATTCAGCTTCTTTCAGTCATATTTCAAGAAAAATAAAAGGCCAAAATATAGAGAATATAGGAAATTATTTTGTTCTGTGATACTCTTGTGTATTCGGAAATTATGAAAATTAGTTGTGGGTGCATAAGGAATATATGTCGTTATGAATTATTCTTAATTTAAATTTCTGAATTATCTTGCCAAAATCATTTTTCTCGTTTTTTTTTCTCGTCGAAAACGGGAAGTCTTTATGGCAGTGTTTGAAATAGATATTAACGCAACTTATTACACACAGAGTTTGTTTGACGCCAAGTCAAAAAACAATTAAAATTGTTGAAAAAATATTTGTATTTTCTCCAGAAAAAAATTAATAAACAAAATAAGTACTGTATTTACGTATAACTTAATTGACAAACAATTTATGTTTAACCTTTCAAAGATGTCATAATCAAAACGTAATAGCGGAGACTAGTGTCTCTGGGCATGGGGTGGTGGCCAACTATGTCTTCATTTTCATGTTTTGAAACACTGAATACTTAATACCTAGGCGTCTGCACCAGTCTTCACTATTGGCCATTGTATGATGCATGTTGTAGTAGACGACACCAAGTCTACTCGTTTTGACAATAATGTTTTAGAACTGATAACAATATTCTAAACATACGTCAATGCAAAACGGTTAGTCAAAATAAAACGGGTGTAAATTACTTATTAGATACCGGCTCGGCAAATGGCACGTCAAAAGAGCATCGCTGCCATAGTTCGTGTAAAACGAACTGGTTACTAGTATATTTTAATGTGCTTGGGACATATGCAACATAAGTATTTCACGGCCGCAGTACATTCAATTTTTTTTGGGGGGGGGGCGATAGTGACCAACACTTTGCCGGTGAGAACACAGTCAGCTGGCGTATTATTGATACCGATATTTACTATATGGGGGCTGCCATATTGAATACGGATTGAAACTAAATAAAGAGACAAGTTGAAGAACAGGTTTTTCCGATTCCTACAAATCAGGAATAAATACCAAACTTTCACAGCCAAACGAATTCGTCATTTATGTGTGGAAATATCTCTTTAATCTCTTACATACAAACACCTAATTAACCTAATTAGAACACTTTTCCGGGTTTTTTGAAACCAAAATTGTCTCCCAACTCAGGGTCCAATCTACGACACCGTACAGCCACTTTGGATGTCAAAAGGATTAATTTTGAATATTTTACCATCGATTGATCTTGTCTACATCTTACTGTATTTAGGAATTATCTCTCAACTAACGTTTTGTCATTGTTATATATTAGTTCCACTCTGAAGAAATGTTATCCCCGTCAACGTGCACACAATTGTTTATACAAAGTGATTTGTCAAATAAAACTGTTCATGTCAACTTATTAATCTATGGTAAACTATCTATATAAAATATATTGTGCTGATATTGGAGATTCAGTTATAATAAAGTTTAAATGGAAAGTAATATCACCAAAAGAAAATTAAAGAAATAACTGCAATGAAAGATGTAATTTTGTTAATTTGTCACACTTTGACGTGTCTCCATACTGTTTAAATCGGTCGTTCTGATTTCGTACATCAGTTTTTACCATGAATCAAAATACCGGTCCAATGAATGTAAAAATTTGTAGACGTCCAAGAATCAGAATCCCATGTCCTGAAGTGCAGAATTTCACACTTATTATTGGATTCCATGCTATACATGTTACACTGTATTCGTTTGACGCACAATCTTGGAACAAATTTACTTTCCTGCTTACAAGATTCATAATTGTTTTTTTTTATTGATTACAAGTCTTAGTATTGCACCATAACAGAATGAGCTGAGTACAAGTGAGGCAGAGCAAGGAATTTGAAACTGCCTGTCAACAATATTTTAAAAGAATAATTTTTGACATTATATTCGAAACGATTGTAACGAACACAAATAAACAATAACAGGAAATGAAATGTTGCCTGTCCAAACAAAGTTTCATGTCAAGTTGACAGCTATATTTCCAATGACCTTGTCTTTCTAAATGAAGTCAGAGGCACTTACAAAATTCAGTTGGTAAGATAACAATAACGTTATTTGGGGAAAATCGTTCACACGCCTGTAGGAAACATGACGAGAAATTAAATACACACACATACGTGGGTGATTTCACAATCAAAATCATTGGTCATTGAATTATTTGTTCTTTATTCTTGCACATTTTCAAATCAGTATTCGTATTAACATTATTAGAATTCGGAGTCTAATTACAGAAAAGATAAAACATCGTTGCTAATGGAGATAGAAGCGTAACCTCCATGGTCATGATATAGGGACTGGACTGGGTCGAATCGGGCAATAACAACAAAGTGTTGAATGTTGTGATAGGGACTGGACTGGGTCGAATCGGGCAATAACAACAAAGTGATGAATGTTGTGAAGTGGACGCGAAGGTGACGCTACTTAAAAATGTGCTGAGTGTGCGTGTAAGCTGAGCCACATATGCAGACGTACTGTTAGAAGAGATCCCCGCTGAATGCTGAATGTCAACACATTCTGAACCCTCTCAAGCTCATTGCCCGAAAGACTTCCATTGTACTGCTTCTACGTGTAGCACACCTCAACACATATATACGGAGTAACCCCGCCATCGCTTTACCGTGTTTACCTCGCGATATCATAGGACTGCTTTATAAACAACGACATGCACTGATCTTAACTGATATATTCTGCAAACGTATACGAACAGAGACAACGGTATATTCTTACCCTTATTAGTATTCTGCTACATACCACGCGATGACATTGCCAGGTATTTACTACTGCGTAGACTGGCCCTGATAAAGATTGTGGTTTTGATATTGATATCAAAGGTTGACTCGTTCCGAAGTTTACAATATGCTCATATATTACGCCACACGTGATCGGCTGTTGGCTACTATAATTAATTTGTATTAGTTTTAACTACGTAAGAGGGCAAAAAACCTGGAATTTAATCTTCAAAACACAATGTGAAGCTATTTGTTGCAGCTGTATTAAACAAAATATGCATCTACCATTTACATTGCTGCTAAACTGTAATCACACATTTTATATACGTGGTATGTCACGTTGAGCTAACTTTAGACAAAGCATGCACGATTGTTTGATCATAAACATTGAATAGTTCCCATTCGTCAATCTAAAACACAGATACAGTATCACATGACATTTGTGTTTATTGTTAAAGGTGAGGTATGGCATAGTATGAAAATAGAATGTTATGAACGTCGGTTTTCTGTCGATTTAGAAATTAGCATTAGTTTGGACAATTTGAGTTCCGGTGACTGAGCTGCGCCACCGAAGGTGTCGTGATTTCACTAATAAGGGGGTTATGTATTACAACATTGAAATAATGGGTTTTTTTTTAAAGCTAATAACTTGATAAGCTGTGCCAGACAACTTATTCTATACGTAGAAGTGTTATTATCCAGAGTTATGAGTGTAGAAATTGGTAAAACAAGTTCACTGGTAGACTTGGATTGAAAAGTGTACGAAACATTTCTACAACGTCTTAAAATAAATATTTAAAAATTATTACATTTGTTGCCAGACTTTTGTATTGAGTCATCATTGAACACGAGGCTTAGGCGACAATATATGTCTATTCACATTCTGGCGAAATTTTTCAAAGCAAAATTTCAACATCAACATTTCTATTTTATTTTAAATAAAGAACACGATATGTTTTAAATCAAACTGCGATATGCATTTCATAAATTCCGTATCAACACATCACGTGTGTATGGTACGGTTTTCTTACCAAAAATTAGATTATTACAATGTCACGTTTCTTTATTTCTTATTTTTTCATTTCATTTGTGTATGTAGTTGCGACTTTCTTCGTTTAATTCGATTATGACATCATTTTTATTTAAATATGACGGCATTTAATCCGTTTATTTCATCATTTCATTCCAATATAATTACACCATTTCATTCGTGTATCTCATCGTTGTACTCGTGTATTTCTTCATTTCATTCGCATATGCAGTCTTTCCATTTGAATATGATACCATATCATTCGGACATTTGATCATTTTATTCGGACTTTATTATTATATTATTATATCATTATTTTATTACAATTTTAAATATTTCATTCATACGTATACTATTTGCTCGTGCTTCAAGACAACGGACAGCGAAATCGCCACTTGATGTGTCAACCATTACAGTTAAAAATTCGTTCGCGTCGCCGCCTCATGTCATGCATTTTACACGATTTTTGCAACGAACGCCCGGGGATCACGTGCACGTTTTCCGGACTGACCCCCTAAGTCAACGTATCCATTGTAGTATGACCCGAGTGATACTCATAAATTGCACAAAAGTGACCCCTCAAATAATAATGAAAAACATAAAATTAAAATAAAAAGCTGAGGACATAATATTATGCAAAGTTT